GAAATATGTTCCGTTTTGTATGCAAACAAATAAAAAATCTTATGGCTATAGTAGATTCAAGAGAGTTGAAATAAAAAGTTACTAGTTACCGATAAAATATAACTAAATAAAGTTAAAAGATAAGAGTCTAAAAATGTAACTAGATAAAGTTATAAAATTATTTAACTTTTTAACTTAACTTTTATCTTTTTAACTAGACACTACCTTGTCTATTTTATTTTAGATACTAAAAAAGGTGCAACTGGTACTGCATCTGGTACTGGTGGCGGTAACAATCAGGGCATGCCAGATCCAATTGGTGCTCTTCAAACACTGGCTCGGCAAGGAACAGGAAATAATCAAATGATGGCGGGTCCAGGTCCCAATCATCAGAATATCATTCCACAGCAACCTGCAAATACTGCAACTAATCGTAAGTCAAATATGAGTTAACTTGTAGATTGCTGTCAATTTGTATTAATGTTGTATAATATCTGAATGTTGTATGATGTCTGACTGATAAGTTAATGTTGTATTTTTTGTCAGTTTTACAAAGCTTAAATCAACGACCTGGACAACCAATAAACATGCCTGGTATGCAAAACAAAATGCAAGGAATGGGTATGATGCCAGCTCAAACTGGTGGTCCAATGAATCACATGAACCAGATCCAAACTATGCAAAACAATTCTATGCTGACTCAAATTAATCAGATAGGACCAGGAAATATTCCTCAACAAATGAATCAAATGGTGCAGGGACAAATGGGCCAACTTGCAAGTGGACAAATGCAACAAAATATGCAGGTATTTTTTATTTTCTCAAATAAATGAAAAAGAAAAACAAATATTAGTGTGTGTATATACAAAACAATAGAAGAAACTATTTTCTATTGTCAGCCACAAATGCAGAATCAATTACCAAATCAATTAAGCAATCAAATGGTGGGACCAATGGGCACCATTCAAACTAGTATGCCGCAACAAATGAATCAAATTGGCCCCGGGCAATTGAGTTCAAGTCAAATGCAACAGCAATTAAATCATATTCAAAGAAAAGTATGTTAGATACAGATGTTTAATTTCTTAATATATAATATTCACTATTAATGTACTAATAATTTTTTTATTATCCAATTATAATAAATATAATTAATTTACGTATATATCTTTCTTCAAAAGTTTTATTAATCATAAGAACAAACTTTTTCGTTTTAGCCAGGTGAAATGATGAATACTGCATTTCCTGGTCCACGTAATGTTACACCGAATCAATTCTTACGACAAAGTCCATCTCCTTCCGCTCCAAGCCCGGCTGGTTTAGGAGCGCCATCAAGGTAAAGATAATACACTTTTTAATCACATTTTTTTTTTCTTACAAACATTCATACAATATATAAAAAATATTACGTCTACAGCAATCAAATGGTAGCCTCGCCTGCTTTGGTTCCATCGCCAAGTTCTCAGCATACTATCCTTACAGGGCCATCTCGTTCTGTAAATTCCATCGGTAAGTTTATACCAATATAAATAGAAAATGTTTTAATAATAAAATATAAGAAAAAAGGCGGAAAAACAAAAAATCTGTTGAATTAGGTATGGCACCATCTCCAAGTAGTTCGTTGAATACTCCGGGAGGTGTTGGTGCCACACCGAGTCCTCAGCAAGAAGATCAGGCATATAGAGACAAAGTCAGGCAATTGAGCAAATATATAGAACCATTACGAAGAATGATCTCTAAAATGAGCAGCGAAGGAAGTAAGAACTTGTAAAATTATGTATTATAAATAGATTTTTCAGCGAAAAAACATAATATATATATATATATTGTGTTATACTATTATTTATATGTTTTGTATTCATTCAGATGTCGATAAGCTCAGCAAGATGAAGAAACTTTTGGAGATTCTGTCGACTCCTAGTAAACGTATGCCTTTGGATACGTTATTGAAGTGCGAAGTTGTTCTGGAAAAACTAGATTTTAAAAGAGGAGACGGTAGCGTAGGACCACCGGTGACAACACTGAAAGAGCATCAGATTTTCAGTCCGCTGTTAGAATCCGTGAGCCAACATCTTCAAAGTCCAGTGATCAATCATACGTTACAACGAACGTTTGGACCTTGCCTAGATGCTTTATTCGGACCCGAGATAAAGTACGAATACATATAGTTGTTATTCTGTGTTGCATGAAGTTGATTTCAGATATTGTCACTTTGCACAATTTATACTGAACTGAGAAAATACATGTATTGTTTGTATTGTAAAACTAGAAACTTGCCGTCCTCGTTGAAAAAAGTAAAAATAGAAGATTCGCCTAGTGAAATACCAGACGTATTGCAAGGAGAAATAGCCAGATTGGATCAACGCTTCAAGGTAATATAACAACTTTGTTTGAGGAAAAAAACATTTTCTTTAATCTTTTTTTTAATACGAAAACTAGTATGAAGAATATTTGTAACACTTCACATATATACGCTCTTTATTCCAAATTATAAAGAATAATTGAGTAAAAAACAATATTTGTGTAACTTGTCATTTTTTTTATTGGTGTAGGTCAGTCTAGATCCAGCGCAGCAAAGTGGATCGAAATGCATACAGCTGATATGTTGGCTCGACGATCGTCATCTTCCGTGCGTGCCACCTATCTCTGTGACGGTTCCGGCAGATTATCCTTCGACGCCGCCTCGCTGTGTAATGACGCCGCACGAATATGAGGCAACCGCATTCTTGTGCGCCGTGCAAAAAGCCTTGAACGCTCGCATTGCCAAACTGCCACGACGTTTCTCACTCTCTCAGTTATTAGACACATGGGAGATGAGTGTGCGTCAAGCTAGCGCACCAAAGGAAACATCTATTACTGCCAGTACAGTGTTAATGGGTTTATAATTATTGTTTTTATATATACTGAATTTATAGTTATATATTAAATTAATTCTTTCTCTGAACTTTGTGATTGTTTTAATCAATTATAGATTAGCAAGATAATTGATTGTACGATGAACTCTAAGAATTGTAAATACTACATTTATCTTTCGTATGATCATTGATTGTTCATTATTTTTATTTCGAGTATTTGTCTTGGCCTTCAAATTTCTCTAAATCATATTTAAAAAATGAAAATAATATGGTGCTACTTTTTACATATTTTATATGAATTATTTTTTTTTGTAATACATGTGTGATCGTGTAAAAAATTTTATTACAGATTCATTAACGACACATCAAATAAAAGTGGTTAATTATCATTAAATTTTATGCTAGTTTATTAGATTTTATTTTTGTGTGAGACATATTTTCAATATTTTCTAGAAAAAATAAATTTATTATTTAAATACTTTATTACATAATAATATATTTACGATAGTATCACAAATGGTATAACAGTAACAGTTTTCATGATATGTATATTTTGTTTTATTACCTCTTCCCTATAAAATAATATAAAATAATTGACATAATTATAAAATTATCTTGATATATAACGGTCTTGTAAAACTAGTAGCAACGTACATATGTACGTTAAAGCTTAGAAGTGGTTTGATATGTTTGATCATAAGCAACTCCGTTTGATAACAAATCATGTATTTCCTTAGATTGAAGTTTTAATTCAGTTAAGATTTCTATGGTGTTTTCGCCAGGCGATGGATTTTTGCAAGTGCCCACAGAGACAGCGGGTGTACGAGACAGACGAGGAGCGGGATTTGGTATGACATCATTTTCCATAGCCGTGAACGTTTGTCTGTGGTTATTGTGACTATGCCTCGCTACGTTTTCTAGACTTAGCATTGGTGTCACGCACGCGTCAGTACCATCGAATATGGCACACCACTCCGCTTGAGTCTTTCTCTTGAAAATCTCAGCAATTTTGCTACGATTTTCTTCAAAATTTTCAAACTGCGGTATCTCGTCACTCGTAAGACCGAGCTTTTCCAGGAATACGTTGTAGAATTGCGGTTCAAGGGCTCCAACGCACATGTAAAGATTATCCTTCGTCTCATACGTGTCGTAAAAATGTGAACCTGTATCTAATCTATAAAGCAGTATTTATATAAGTTGTATATAAAAGAAAAAATCGTGACTTTAATATATAATCATAAATTTTTGAAAAAAATACGAAATTTTTTTGCAGAGGAAAGAGCGTACATGTTTCTACCACGAGAATTTCCCCATAATCCAGGCACTTTTTGAGATCTGAATAACCAAGATCCTAAGTATGCGGTTCCCTCTACCATGGACGCATCCACTACTTGTCCTGTGCCACTCTTTGTTCGTTCATATAGCGCCAAGATGATTCCAAGAGCGCACATCAAACCACCCCCACCGAAATCAGCAGCGAAATTAACAGGTGGTACAGGTTTTTCATTATATCGGCCAAACAAAGATAATAATCCTGCATTAACAATTCACGTCATTATTATAAACATATATGTTGGAATATTCTTTAAAGAACATTCATTTCTTTTCAAGCACTATTATTGACGTAGATGCAGAAATTTATATTTCAGAATCATAAAAATTTTACCAGATAAACCCAAATAATTGATATCGTGACCGGCCATGTTTGCAAAAGGTCCTTCTTGACCATATCCAGTTAATCTAGCGTATATTAACTTCCTATTTGTTGCCATGAGTTCATTTGGACCAAGTTTTAGTTTCTCCATGACGCCTATTAAACAAACATTTGTACAAAATAAAAATAAAACAAAAAGATTGTTTTTTTTTTTTTATCATCGATATATGCAGAATTGTAATTCTTATATTACCTCTTCTATACGTGTCAATAACGACATCACTTTGGTCGCTTAGTTTTCTAAAAATATCGACGCCCTTTTCTGACTTTAAATTCAATGCTATCGATCTTTTTCCATGGCCCAACACATCTAAAGAATTAGCTCGAATCTGTGTATTAATGCAAATTTTCCGTTATGTTAATCATATATTATTTTAAATATTAGCACAACACAGGCGCGCGCTACGCGCACGCTGTTGTTATTTTTATTTAACGTGTTGTCAGTGAACACAACCTGTCACCGCGATGACAGATAGTATATACGTCTTCTTATAAACCATATAATACACATATGAGAAATGTCAGAAATAATGCATAAAAATCAAACTCAAAAAATAGTGAGAGAGAGAGAAGTCGAAAAACAACACGTATATATTATATGTAATATTCTATATCTATATATAATACACACACATACGCATATATGTATGTATGTATATATATATATACCGTAATCACGTGACCGAGGTCATTGACCCCGCCGCGGTCGCGCGGCCGAGGTCAGTGACCCCCCCCCCCACCAAGGCCGCGCAGCCGAGGTCAGTGACCCCGCCAAGGCCGCGCAGCCGAGGTCAGTGACCCCGCCAAGGCCGCGCGGCCGAGGTCAGTGACCCCGCCAAGGCCGCGCGGCGGAGGTCAGTGACATTACTGTAGTGCAAAATGCAAAGTACGTGCGCGCGCAAATTAAATGTCAACCTAAGGTGCGTTAGCTTTAAGCCTGTTCTATAATACAGTCATAAGCTGTAAGTTGTAAGAAATCACAATCGATTCTTCTGTGATTGGTCAATTTCTTACGACTGTATTGTAGAACAGGCTTTAGGTGCACTTTGAGCGTCAGTTTATTTTGATTATCTCTCTCTTATGAACTTTGCACTGGCTACACAGAGTCTATCTTTGCTCTTCTAATATGGATAAAAAAAGATAGACTGTATCGCCGATGCAGAAAATAAAACGAACATATTATACATATCAATGAATTATTCAGACGAAAAAACAACCTTCACTGTATGTAAATTACTTAAGCTTGAAAGATAAATAAACACACTACCAGTTATAAATCAAGTTCTTTAAGATAAAGAACTCTATTGTAAAGAATTATGTGAAAAATACCTTGTCGACTCTTATAACTGATGCTCCAAAATCTGCTAAAATCATTCCACAGAAAGGTCCCGGAGCAAGTCCGGCCAATTCCAAGACTTTAATTCCTTTCAAGATCATATCGTCTCTTTCTGTTAATATAATTTGATTTAGAAAAAAAAAACAGCTGATTACTTTTTTACCTCTAACGCGTTTTCGTTATCCAAAACAATTTTTATCCGTTTCATGGAACAACCCATTCAACCGTAGACATATAATAAGACTAGACGCGAATTACTTGCAAAGTAGTAAAGTTCAATCAACTTTTTTTATTGAAAGTCGCACTCAGTGCGCACCAGTGCAGACTGCGGAGTTTTGCTGTAAAATTCGCGTGCGTCGCATGTTCAGCGCCTGCGCGCAACTTTCGCTTGTTTTTTTACATTCGGTATATACGCAATTTCTGGATGCACTCATTGTTGATGTTTACTCTATAGTTGTTATGCATATAAGGGTCCACTGATCCATAAGGGCACCGGTAACCACCATCTATAGTTGTTATTGTTTTTTATCTACAATGAAGTGAGCTATCGATGTTGGAGACCTCGTACGGTGTCAATCTGAAACGTCCGCTATCCCGGCTCATTTCGTGAAATACATAATTGTGACATGAGCGGGATATTTATGTACGCATAAATTACACCTCTCTAACAAGTATTGTGTATATTCGTCTACAAAATAGAAAATAAGAAATAAAAGTGTCAAAATGGCGATGTCAACGAGTAAGTGTTTACTTTCCACAAAATCTGTAAATATCACGTGAGACCGCATGATGAGAGTACATAAATACATTAGATATTGATTTTCTTTTCGATTTCAATAAAATTTAGTCCACTTTCGCGTTTTCTCGAGTAAACGAATGTGGCAGAATCTACGCTCGACATTAAAAAAAAAAAAAAGAATAATTTATCACTCAAAAACCATCTGTTTTAATAAGGTTAGAGAAAACTGTTGTACCAACGTGGTGGCGAGGCATGTGCCTTGTGATGGGTAAAAAGCGCGCCAAAGTTTAAAAAGTCTGTCAAAATGGCAGACCGGCTGCTTTCACTTTATATTCATTTTTTTTTTTTTTTTAATGAAAAGTAACTAATTAATTGTTAATTCATGTTAAACTATGTGTATAAATTTACACGCAATGTTTATTATCTATACCACAAAAAGTATATTATTTGATACAAAACTTTTGCATAATAATGTAATTTATCTTTTGCAGAATTATTGAAACGTTTAAATTCGGGAGAAGATCCTTTGCCAAAACGATTAAAGTTAGCGGAAACTGCATTTGTTGAGTTGGATCTGCCGCTTGTGAAAAAGGATGAGTTACTTTTGGAATGGGTGTGTAAAACGTGTCTAACAAACCAGGAAGCGTGGAAAACTTTGAATGAATTCTTGAAGTCTCGAATTGACATTAAGACCAATGCAAAACAGTGTTTAATTGACACGCTTGTTCAGAAATTGAACACTGATGAAAGAGATATAAATAAGGAATTTCTTCAATGTTGTGACTCAGTTTTGTCTAACAACAGCATGAGACAATATTTTACAAATAATCCACAAAATTTGGGTGTTTTATTGAGGGCTCTACTAAACAATTTTTTGAAATACTCAGAAATACATTCTCACTGTTGCAATACAGCACAAAATGAACTTGAGCAACAACTTAAGCCAAATAGAAATAAGTGGGATTCAAATGGGATATTTATATTTATAAATAGTACTTTACGTTACGTTGTCAAAAGTTTAACACAAATATATCAACAGTCAGTAACTAGAAAAGATGAACTGAGAGAAATTTTTATGCACGATGTTTTGCATCTTGTGTGCAATTCAATTGATGAGAGCGATTATAAGGGGTCTTTTATTGCCTCAGACGCACGCGAATGTATACAGCAAATATTATTGAATAAAAGCAGATTTACAGAAAACAAACGAATGGGAGAAGAGAGCAGACAAGCAGTGCTCTCAAACCTATCTTATGTATTGTCTAGAAACGTGAGAGCATCATGTCCTCAAAGCAATCTTCTAACATACAAGTTTCTTTTTTACACTGTGGTAGACTCTTGTAAATCAGATGCTGTTTTATTGGACATGGTCTTTAGAAAATTGATCGAATCCTCTGGAAAACACAAGTTCGAAATCTTGGAAGCTTGTCTCAGATACTTAAATGATGTGACTCTTGATTTCGACAATACCATAGATGGTGTCACGTTGTCCGAATATTTACAAAAAATAATAACTGATATTTTAGCATTCGACAATTTACGGGACGTTTTGCTATACAAAATACTTAAAAATCTTGCGTACATTAATCCGATTTTAATAGAAAAAAATATTCCGGACATTTTAAACAAAACACTTATGGAAGAACAAAATGTAGACTACATAAACTTGTTAAATGCGCTTTTGTACTGCAGTATGAAATTGAGACGCGAGCAAAAATTTATCTCGCAGTTACTGGCATCATTGAAGGAAACGATTAAAGTAAAACAATCGTACGAAATAAAGCGACAATCATTTTTTCCATATGAATTTAAAAGCGAACTGACGAAGCAAATTAACAATTTCTCTAGTTCACAGATAATTACAACTTTACGAACAATAATACATTACTTGAATACAGATTGTGTGACATTATTAGAGTCCAATATTTCATGTACGTATTTTTTATTTTGTTGATATGCTTATTTTATGGATATTTATTTCAAACTACAAATAATTAACAAAGTATATATGTAAATGGGATTACAGGTAAATATATATTAATGCTGAAGGCGACGGTAGAATTGCTCCTTATGTTCTTCTCCAACATACAGATATTAGAACACATCAAACTTCCAATAGTTTTTGAAAAACTAGTTAACAGCCTAGAAGACCTAAGTAATACTTTATCATTGTTGATAAACAAAGCATTGTGTTTGAGTTATAATAAAGATATTATTGTATTACTGCTAAACGCGGTACAATCATTAAGCGATATGCAGAACGTACTGAAATATTATGTGCCAAAAGAAATTGCTATGAAGCAACTAGCTTTTCCGATTCCGGATGATCCTTGGCAACAATTGATTCAAAGAATATCCAACTTTGGAAAACGCAACTGCAAATATACTATGGTACTTACAAAAACATGTCATTTATTCAAAATCGATTACATTCTTCTCAACATAAAATGGAGAATTATTTTAAGATTTTTTTAAGTTAATCAAAATTTTGAAAAAATATTTTTAATGTAATTCTGATTTTACATACAGTTATGTGTTTGTTTTTTTTTTACAATTTCAGAACAAGCTTATTTTACATCGGATCAGATCAAACATATCACGCGACTCTTCTTCTTTTGTTAAACTTTCTGGTTTAGTAGGAGGTCTGGAATATTCTTGGAACATTATTTTGAAATATTATACGGATGTGCTTTCGTTATTGCATGACAATGACGTAATCACAGTGACGTATTTTTTCTTGACTTATATTACATCGAATGAAAATAACTACGACAGCTGGCATGTTATATTAAAGAGGGAGTGTCTTCAAGAAAATAGACAGTTTGTACATTGTCTCTTAGGTCAGATTCTTGCTCAAATTGGACAGTGTACAAAATCTATAACAGTAGATATTACTCCTGTAAGTAATAGCATAAAATTTACTACAAGTTTATAATTTTTTATTTTATAATTTGTATATTTTATCTTATATTCTAAGAAATAGTTTATCTTAACTATTTTATATATCATTATTATCTTGTAATAACGCAGAACATTAAATTTTATAATATATATTATACATATATATATAGTAAAATGTTATTTTTGTTTAAGTATATTTATATAATTAAGATGTATTGTTTAGGAATTAATGTTGGAGAAGGAAAATGACAACAAACTTCTAGATATATTGCAAGTTATGAAAGAGCAAATATCTCAAGATCAATGGATTCAAATGACAAATTCGATATCCGATAAAATTAGATGTCATCTTAAAGTATTGCTTAATTTACCGATAATACATTTCAGATGTAATGTTAAATTATTAGTATTTCTGGTTGTATATTCCGTTAGCAAAGAATGTGACAACAATGCGGAAATATTGTCATTATGCAACAAGATATTCTTAGGTAATTTTTATAATTTTTATTTTTTTAAATATTTATATACATATATAAGATTTATTTTCTTTTCAGATTTATTAGAAGATACCAGAATCGATATATTTCAATACATAGAACCAACAGCGGTGATAAATCAGTTATCGCAAAACAAAGCATTCGCGAAAGCTTGCGAGTATCATCTTTCAGATGCAACAACATACGCCACTTTGAAAAGTCTTATAAAAAGTTGTGCACGAAACAAGGAAGCTATGTGCATCATTTTGGAATATTTGGAAACTATCAAACCAAACGATACTGAGCAAAAAGTTATTTTCAGAAAGGCAAGAAAAAAATTAGCTACAGCTATTTTAAAAAAGTTACCTGAAGCGATAAATGAAGCTTTTGACGTTAGATGTTTAGTAGCAGTATTAAAAATATCATCTAAAAATATTACCGACGACTTGAAAAAGTTGACCGAATCAACTCACAATAATATATTCACAGTAAGTATACTACAGTTCTTCAGTATATATTTTTTCTTTTCTCAATATTTACAAAATAATATTGTTTGTTCCTTTGTAGACTGAAGAAAACTTAAAAACTGCTAAGAGTGCATTAGTGCAACAAGGTGTGGAATTGGCTGTTATCGTTTTGCAACGTCGTAAAACATTTGAAGTACCAGATACGACCATCAAGGGCTTATGGCGCATAATGTTACGATATCCATACAAGAATTTATTCAAACCATTATTAGCATCTACTGGAGAAAAAGAATTTTATGAACTTCTAAAACTGTTGCATGATGAGACGGTATATATATGTTTGCTAGTAATAGTATATATTTTTGTTGTATAAAGTCAACATTTTTATATAGATCAGATGAGAAGTTTTAAATTAACTAGTTTTTTGCAATTTATTGTATTCGATCGTAATTAATTTTTTGTATCTATACGCACATAGATAACTATCTGGAAGGAAAGTGATGAAACGGCATGGAAAAATCTGTTTTTCATTTGGAACGGTGTAATGAAAACAGAATACTATATGAATACCAGACGTAAGAAGATGCGTTGGAATGCATTTAACAATCTTTTGTTCCGAGTCGTATTTAAGATAAATTTTCCTCCCAAATATTGGTCACACGTTGTGAGTCTGTCTCACAATATAATCGCTACCAAACACTTACTTATTCCAAATACTACATTTGATCTTATTATAATAACTGCTCTGCACTCGCTCCCGAGAGCATTACATACGCAGCAAATTACAGTATGTGAATGTGTATTGGCTCTGTGTAAAACGATGATAAAAGTCAGGCCGGACATGATAACAGACAGATTACCGAATTTATTGCTACTATATAGAAATGTAATAGAAATCGTTGTTCATGGATCGAGATATTTCATAGACAATAATAAAATTGTAGAGCGCCGATTTAGATGCCTCGCGTTCGATATTGAAAAGTAAGTTTACATCAATTTGAAAAAAAAAACAAGTCGCAACTGTGACATTCAAAACTCCTCAGATATTGTCTATGATCCATTAACTAACAAAGTTGTAAAAATATAAGCAAAAGTATATATATAAGCCTTTTCTTTAATAGGTTTACAAGTTTACTGATAAAATTAAAGAAAGATATGATTCGTTTAAGTCCATATGTAATTGCTGATCTCTTACAAATAATTACGGACAAAGAGTTATCAAGTTTGAAGCGTGGTCAGAGCGAATATGATCTTTCGATGAAAAAAACTTCTCCGCCTTATCCATCTTTTATCAAGGTAATATATTTTTTTCACAAATGGAATCGATATTAGTCTTATGTGACATAGTCTTATGTTGTTGCTATTTTATGTTTTGTCGCTGAGAGTGATTATCTTTAATGTGTTTGTTGCAGGTGGCTTTGCATAATTCTCTGTATCAATTGATCAGCATTTGCGATCAGCACGCAATCGCTTTCTTGTCTCGCACGTTACCAGTATCCTTGCAGGAAGTCTTCAAAGTACAATTAGATTCGTTCAACAAATTTTACAAATATTCCGGCAAAGTATAGATTTGATTTACCTTTTGATTAATCGTTTGCGAGACAGTTTGACAAAATTGAACACATGTTTTTATACACAACTAAAGGAAAAAAAATATATATATATATGTAAAAAATAAACTATACTATTAAACATTGTTTATGTGTGTTGAGTTTGCGAAAACACGATGTTAGTAAAACAGTCTTACAATTCTTAACAAGTTTTAGAACAATTTTCGGCTTTTAAGCTTTTTTTTTCGATTTTGAAAGCTCGAAAATGCTCACGCAGCGTTGAAAGTCACGCGTTGATTCGTATCGATTCGAAAGATTTATTTATCGACAGTAAAGTCGATGTATGGCGCTGATACCAGCGGTCGAGAACGTCGAGAAACTATAACGGGATGGTATGGCCGCTCTTAAGCTTCACCGCTTTTCTCTGGTTAACGTTTGTGGCGCTGCGAAACTCTATTGGAAGCTTTTGTAGTAATGGTTGCAAGTTTGAAAAGAGTGATGGTTTCTGATGTGATGGGGTGACTTGCAACGAGTATGTGTGTGTGTAGTTTTGCACACTATCGCAGTATCTAGTTTTTTCGTATCTACTTCAAATTGTGCGAAAATCGCAGGATTCAATTGGTGAGAAGAAGTATTTTGAGCGTCTTCTCTCCAACCGATTGGCATATAGGAGCCATCACGTGATCAGGTGGTGAGTGTTTCAAGGGTCTCGGGTCTCGGGTGCTAGCAGAAAGATTTTAATATTGATGCGCACTTGACGCTCTCGTGGTCGTCGCGAGGGTTGCAAAAGCAAGTGGTGGTATTTGCAAGAGAAATTGTTCTTTACGACTGGCTTATCAGCGCCGACGAGGAACGATGTCAGACGTGGATGAACGGTAATTATTATCATAAGTTCGTTGATAATTAATGTGAAAAAAAAGTGTACGTACATACACTATCGTACGCGTCACTTGCATATGTACATTTGTTCATACATGCGTTACGTTACGCACATATATGCGTACGTATAAATAAATGTATGATTACACATTGCAGTTTTCAGAATTTATGGATATACTTGTTATAATAAAGGCAACCTTGCCGAGAAAAGTTGTAACTTGTTTTTTTTTAATTCATTTTTTTTTAATGCTAATATGCAATTTATATTTTGAGTTATTTTGTATACGTATGTATGTATATATATATATATATATATATATATACTGTTATAAAGGTTTAGTAGATTAACAGATTCCACCCCTTATTTTATTTCTCTTTTGCCATGCTTTTAGCTTATAAACTTTTTGCTAACATATGTTTTTTACTTAGAAAAAATTGTATATAGTGTGCTAATTTTAAAATATTGTATAAAAAACTATAAAAAGCAAATATTATTGTCAACTTGCTTTTATTGATTTAACTGAAGATACATATGGCTGATCACTTGTGTGCTCTTGAAAGTTTTGTGATTACATGATGCTTCAATGATTTTTTATAGGAATATAAATTTGTTTAAAAATCTGTTAGCCTATATAAAATCATGCAAGGTTATTTGAATATCGGACTGTTTTATGATACATATACAATCACTAATTGCAGGGTGACTGATGAGATTGAAGCACTGAAAGCAATTCTACTAGACAATGAGCTCAATATCAAGGAAAATGATAGGTATATAAAGATTTTTCTAATTATTTGCGAACTAAATATTGTATATTATAAAAAAATATAGTTGTGTGTAGTTTAGTATATAGTTATGTATTTTATATGTTAATTTGTTACAGAGGAGAACCAGAATGTATCGAAACAATACTATTTCCATCAACTGGCGAGGATTCGCAGTCTCAATATGTTTGCATTACATTGGTTGTACGATTACCTTCTGGTTATCCAGACGTTTCACCAACCATCAGTCTGAGAAATCCTCGAGGATTAGATGAGAACACTGTGAAATTGATGCAATCTGAAGCAGAAGCCAAGTGTATTGACTTTATAGGTCAACCAGTCATGTTTGAATTGATAGAGGTGAAGAATTTTAATCTATCAATTTCTTAAATCATTTGTATATATAATGTATAACACAAGCAAAAGCTGGAATTTTTACGTACATATAAAGATAATATAATAATTTATATTTATTATCTGATTTTGTTATTTTTGTTTTTGTATTTATTTTTACTAGCTGATTCGAGAACACTTGACGAGGAGCAATCTTCCAACGGATCAGTGCGCTGTTTGCTTGTACGGCTTCCGTGAGGGCGATGAATTTACGAAAACGGAATGTTATCATTATTTTCATTCGCATTGTTTAGCGGCTCACGTTGCTGCTGCAGAGAGATATTACAGAGAAGAGCAGGAGAAGCTACCGCAGTGGCAACAGGATACTACAAACAAATTTCAAGTACAAATTTCATTATTTGTGAACAGAGCAATAAAAACAACTAAATTGTACCGTCACAGTCTTTTTCACTTTGTTGTATTGACATTTATATATTTTAGGCTATATGTCCGGTTTGTCGGGAGTCGATCAATTGTGACGTTGAGAGTTTGTGGTCAGCACCACCGCCGATCGACGTTGAGGCTGCCACTGATTTTTCTGTTACCGCGGAGCTGCGAGAGCTGCAGAAACAAATGGCTGCTTTGTATTTGCGACAGCAACAGCGGGGCGGTATAATTGATCTGGAGGCTGAAGGTGTGAAGATGCTGGTGAGAACTGAGGATGATCCCGCTGCAGCTACCGAGGTTAGCCCAGCCGGTACGAGCTTAAACGGATGCTCGAATACCACTACTGTGCAACCGGTTACTCAAGTGGTGAGTAATCTACTATTTTTATATACAGTAGCAGTATTTCATATCTTTTTTTCAAAGAAAAAAATACGAAGGTGCAGTAGGCGGCTAATCGAATAGAAGAAATAATTTTAACAATGCTGTTTATTTAAAAAAAAATCCAATTTTTTTCGATTTCCAATTCTTATCGCTGCAGCATTCGAAACAGCCAACGAATCAGGCTCAGAATCACCATCATTCGCAGTATCAGTCACGCCAGCACAATCATGGTCACAACAATCACAATCACGGTCATCGGCACCGAGGTCGCGGGCGGACGCATTACCGGCGTCATTTTGACAGAGTCAGACACGCAGAATCTACTCCCAGATGACACTGGGCTCGTCACAAGTTCGCTGTACTCTGGTCTGGTCTCTTCGTTGCTATGTCGCTAAGTGTATACAATATTTTGATTAGCATCACTAGTATGATCATCGGTGTATTATACGATGGCTATCTATTTCCCTCGAATAGTCTCACTACGATAATAAACTTATAGGTATCGTTGTTCAAATAAATAGTATTCCCGTTGTCATCCCGACAGCGGTGTCGGGACGCGTCGCAATTTCTCGTCTAAGATATTTACGTAGACCGAAGCCGTTATTATATTCGATGTGAGTGCAACGAGTACGAATGCCCGAAGCCTTAAATCATAAAGATTTTGCTGTAGCAAACACCTGTTTAAGTTGCCGCAAAGTATGATACTGATTATTATACGACACGTTGTGTATAATGTTTTGCAGCTCTGACAATTTTTTAATATTATTTTTTTGTTATCTACATGTAGACGATATTTTTATTAGATTTTTTTTTTTGCAGTCGTTCGACTACGAATCTGACGCGTACAAATTTAATAAAAGAACGAATTTAACGTTGTGGCCATGTGTGTCTCTCTCTCTCTCTCTCTCTCTCTCTCTCTCTTTCTTTCTGCATATATATATATATTAGATTACGGATGATATTAAACATCTATGTTTTTAGTAAGCTCGCTAATCGCAAAATTTGGAACGTCAAATTAATTTTCGTGGCTGTCTAAAAATGAAAGACCCTAATTGCTGACGCTTAGCGATCTTGAAGCAATTCAATCAGTGCAGTAGTATGTTAAAAAAAAAAAACAGTGTGAATGAAGATAGAAATTCATTTTATAGAGCAGCTATCAAAAAAAAAAAAAAAACGCCGAGAACTAATAATATAAAATATATAATCTTCGATCTGATATTTGATGCTTTTGTATCAAACATCATCTTTGGATTATTGATATAATCTTTGTATTCACTGCCGCAAAATGCAAGCAAGTTGTTCAATTCATCTGTGATAAGTGTTTGTTTTTATCGTCGCAACGCGCTGAGTACATGTGCGAATAATGCAGATATTTTAATATATATCTCGCCTTTCACTCACATCACGTGATTATTCTTCTGTTGTTTTAACAGAAAGTGTATTCTTTAAGAAAATTTAAAATGAAGTAACGCTAGAAACGGATAAACCTACTATAAGGATACACTTTCGAGAAATAATTATTACTTTTATACACAGATCTAGTTTTAGCGACAAATATTTTTAGTTTTAAAGATAAAAAAATTTGTTTCCTCTTTTTAAAAATATTTCTAGCAAAACAATTACTTTTACGTAAAGAGAATTTCAGATAGTAGTCAAGGCGGAGAAAGGGAGAGGGAGAGAGAGAGAGAGAGAGAGAGAGAGAGAGAAAGAAGAGTAAAATAAAAAACGAAGAAACCAGATATATTGGCTATCATCAAAAAATACTTAAGTATATTGATCTTCGTATTAACCCTACCTACTTATCAGTACTTCAAAGTTTTATATACAGAACTTTGCCTTCTTTGATGCAGTTAAACGTTTTATTAGCTATCAAATGTTGAAGCAATTATATTTGTTAATTGTCGGATAAAAAATCGCAAATAGTTTGAGAGTTAATTTATTTTCTTTTTGAGCAGCAAAAGCAGATATATACCTATTTTTACTACTTATTTTTTACAAAGTTGATCAAGTATCGTAATTTTTAAGTTAGTGAGAGACTTTCTTGTTAGAAGATAAAAGCGTATACAAATCGAGTGTATATTTTTAGGAAGGATAATTTAGTTTTTTACGGTATGTTTTGCAAGTTTTCGTGATATTTGTTTATTTACAAAAAACGGGTTTTTTTCTCTTATGTTTAAAAAAAACTGTATCTGAAGCATCGCTCGAAACCAATCCGTTGTCTGTGTACTTTATAAATTCATACACATTACAGACGACAATGTTAAAAACAAAGTGTAATACCGCGAATAGAGTTTATAACTCAGTCACGTGCGACAGCGAGTTGCAAAAAAAATTATAAGCAATCAAAACTATTTCGCCAAAACAAAAATATTTTATACCTTAGTGTAAAATTAACGTAATCAAAATTAACCGACACTAATTATTAGCGTATACTGTGCCATTTATCGCTTGTTCCGTTCATAATGTGTTACATGGCATGTATCCGATATATCTGTAAGAAAGTTTGCAAACAAATTTGAAAAATTCACGCTGTGAAGTAAAACGTTGTAAGAAAGAGTTTCTTTGCATCGCTCACAGTTCGAATTTACGATCGAAGTGCCTGTGATCGTAGAGAACAATTGTGATAAAACTGAAGAAAAAAAAAACAACAAGTTCATTGCGTCAGATTTGCAATAAGGCGGGTCGCAAATTTTGCGTTATAAAGACCCAGCTAAAGATCTGATTATTCTGTTACTTTTAACTGACATTTCTCTCTTTTGTAAAGTTCCTCGCGTTTGTGCGCAACTGTATCGTATATTAGTTCGATTTATCTATATAATATATATACATACATATATATATATATACATAGTTCTGCGTGTAAGCTCGACTATGATTTTAAAGAGGCATTGCGCGCGTCTATTGTATAGATACTCTTAATACATATATGGTGTATATGTCGGTAAAGGAACAAAAAAAAAAAAAAAAAAGAATTCTTAGCAACCTTGTGTATAAACTCTTCCACATAAATGTGATACTTACAAAAGGGTAATAGGCTAAAGTAAGGAGACTTTAGACGCATAAAACTGAAAATGTACTTTTTGCTTTTCATTTTGTTCGCAGGATGTTTCTCCTTTGATCTGTATTAGCCGGTTGACTCAATCCTCCAAGTTGTCTCGTATTTTGTATGTGTATGTTTCATCAAGGTTTCGCTAAACGTAGTCTCACATCAATGCGTTTAATTTTTCTTCGTATAAACACTTTAGAAGATTCGTGAGATTTTGCTCTTTCAAACGACACAAGTTAGTTTCATTGTTTAATTCAAGAGAAATGTATTTGTACGTATTTTTGTGAAATTGTGGTATTTAAGTCTCAATCTGAAATTTTATATTAGTTTTTGAGAGTTAGGAAATTTTTAAAAACGAAAATCATCATCTCTATACAGCGTGTGTTTAACGGATATTATATTAATTAAGTTACTACTGCGATCTATCTCTATTTGTAAGTACCAAAGAATGTCGGATTATACATATATTAAAAAAAAAAAAAAAAAAGAAACAGAGAGGACAAAGTGAGATCAGAAAAATAAGGATTGACTTTATGTAGAAAAGTACCTGTTTATTCCTTTTTCTTACGTTTTACGTATGTCTGTGATATTTTAGGAAATGGATTTTTATTCAGCTTTTCTATCACATATATATATATTTTTCACTTGTATGCACATTTATTATATGTAAGCAACAGTCGAGATGTCTCAAGAATTTTTCCGAGTACATTTGCTATTTCTCTGTACAATGCGATTTTTTTGGCAAGGACGAAGAAACAAATGTATGATACGCATACATTAAAACTCTTATTTGGAAACTATTTTGTTTATTTTCGTTACTCATGCGTACCATTTTATTCTAACACGACGTGAAACTAAAAAAACTACACACGATGCTAAACCTGTGTCTGTTTACACGCTCTGATTTATGTGAGAAGACATTCCAAGAAAGTGCGTGTGCGTGTGCGCGTAAGGACATAAGTAGAAATTAACAAAATGTACGTTTCTTTGTTTAGAACTCGTGCATGGTAGAAAAAATTCTGTTTGTTTCATATTTAAAATACATTTATATATACTATATGTATCACGCGACTTGCATGTATTACACGCATATCTCATACAAAACAATTATATAGATAGCAAGAAATATCGTCTAGTTTTCAATCAACTAATATTTTTTACATTTCCGTACAACGCGATCTATAGTCAGACGTAATAATTATAATAAATATACGATAACAAGATTTTGACGAATATAGTCTTCTATGAAATATAAAATATATAAAAACATCTTTTTTTCTACTTTTCGACCGTCTTTTTTTTAAGCTGATATTCGAATTGTCAATCACGTAAGAAGAAGAAGAATCACGAGAATAGAGTTTGGGAGAACACGCGCTACGTAAGAATGACCACGAATACAACTTATACAGTAGCTAAAAACTGATAATTGCCTCTTTCCGCCTTTGTAAACAACGAACTTGCGGTCTGCTTATTCCGGTCAATGCCATGATAAAATTTATCGTCACGCCTCGGATCGCGTTGCAAGTCTCTGCTACGTTCAAATGTGCGACGGACGTGTTCATGCATAAACAAAATTTGACGTGTTGTTACAATACGAGAAGACGCGTGACGACGAAATTAATTCCTTGACGTAAGTGTTTTTTTTCTCTTTTGCGCTATTATATTAAAACAAATCATCTGCTCACGTGCGTGTGAGCAAAAGTTAATAAAAAAAATTGATACACATTCGGTTGCCCACTACCGACTGCCTTCTCACATGAATTATCACGTCATTTCTGGTTGCTAAGATACATTGCTACAAAATATTGTAATTTGTGCGTTTCGATTGTAATGTTCTATATATATAACAATACTATCCATAAATATATAAATTACAATAGTTTGCTTAAGAGAAATTACATAGTTGACCTTACAGGAAATTTGAGAACTAAGTCATTTCACAAAAATTCAAATATATATATATATAAAAATATAATATCACACACTATAAATGTATAAATACCTAAATAAAGTTAGTCTTGTTTGCAAAAATATTTTGTTTCACGTTTTTCTGTCAATCATAAACTTTTATAATTAAATCTGAGTCATCACATCTGAATCATTATACGCATTGTTCGGTAAAAACAATAAAAATCCTTCTATATTCACAATGTAGTATTCAAACAATAACTACTTTTTATAGATATCATCATCAACAGAGTCTTATCACAAATTTCTATATACATGCAGAGACACACGCATGTGGAAAATCAAAAGATTCGTGTGTGTGTGTGTAGATAAATTGATAATTGATTGCTACTGGAGCTTATTATTATAAGGAATATCTTCTTATAAAGTGCGTCTGTTAAACCGGAACGACATACAGTGACGAGAATAACTTAATGTTCACAATGATGGAAGTGAAAACATCTCACGACGGCAGGACGGACGATACTCCGGACACTTCTTCCACCAAAATGGAGACACTGAAGGATGTTGCGGTCCAGGAACCGTCCGCCAATCCCGAAATGCAAGAAGATTTTGTAGTGAAAGAGCAAGGGATGTCCGTCGACACGACGGACAAAAGAAATCGCCAGTCGAACACTTTCGCGGCCAAAAAAACTGTGGCACAAGGTATGATGGACGTCGCGCTCATAACGGCTAATGCGAACCAACTGCGATATCTTCTCGAGTACCAGCAAAACAGCCCTACTTTTTATCTCACTATGAGCATGATTATCATCAGTCTTATACTGCAGGTAAAAATATCATCTTCTATCAAAGAAAAAGAAGAATATTGATTGCAAGATTTAAGAGAACTTTTTCTATATTCTTGAAATCATATTTTTTAAACTCAAAACTCTGCTAGCTTCCGTAGCACTTCTTGCTTAATACCGTTTTAGATTGGCGTTGGAGTCAGTTTGATCTTCAAGGGTCGATACGACATGAAAGGCAAATCGAAATCCACCAACGCTGAGAGAATTAACAATTACGTCGTGGTGACCGTCTTTCTTATAACAATTATTAACGTATTCATAGCCGCGTTTAGTATAAGCTCGCCCGACACGCAACCCCTTTGAGTTCCAACTTTCAGCAATGGAGTCCGTAAATAAGATTAAACTAATTACTATAGTAAAATTACATAATTGTTATTTTTATAAAAAGTACAACAAACGTGCCATAAAAACAACTTATTGACCGAGATCTATAATTTAAAGAAAAACATAATTATTAAGAAAAACAAATATATAATTTATGATATGTTTACACATATTGTTTATTCCTAACACATATTTGTTATATTATATTTGTGATGTATGTGAATATGTTCATACATCACAAGTTCTGGATGTGACGTATTTCACAACCGCGTTAATTAATCATCTTCAAGTGCCTGGTAGATTAAAGACTAAACAAAGCGCAAACAAATAAGAGATTATGTTGTGAAACATCTTGCAATCTTTATACATTCTTATTATATGTTTGTCAACAAGTACAAGTCTAAATATCGTGTTATTTTACTATTACAACTTTATTATTATTTTTACATTACATTTTTATTATTTTATTATATATATATATATTATACAATTATAATATATTATTACAAATAATATAAGTAGTATAAATTTTTTATTTGATTTGAATTTTTTTCTATTGTGTTAAATGCAACATTAGTGATATATATATGTATATGTATATTAGGACTGCCGCTTTACAAAGAGTGTGTAATAGAGATATGTAGAGATATATCAAAACAATGTAAATATATAGAAGAAAAAACAACAGAAGTAATTTTTTTTGCGGGAGATATATAACGACATATCATATAAAATATAAAATATATATAATAATATTTTAATATACTTCTTGTTTTTTAAATCTTGTGACTAGGATTTCTCCGTAACGGCAAAAGTGTATCTTGTGCCTTGCGCAATGTTCCCTCCGATGACTTTTCTCTTTGTGTTAAACTTCCATATCGATATCTGTGCCGTATATAGTAAATAAAGCACAAACGTTAAAAATACTCTATAAAATCATTGAGTTATATGATAAAATCATATAAATTTAATACACGTTAGCCTATTTCACGCGCGATAAAATAGGATAAACAAAAATAAAAACTAGTTGTTAATCACACTTAACGAACTGTATATTTGATCGATGTTCTTGAATATTGTTCTTGAAAATTTGGAACAGTAACTGCTAATAACGTAATCATCGAGAGAGAAACGGTATGATATTCGCTGAACAAACTATAATTAATTTGTTTTTTCAAAAAAATGTGCGCATTCATCAAACAAATACTAATCTCTTTGTTGGTATGTTAAAAAATATATACATAGTTTTTTTTATATACTTTGTGTATAGAGTTAAAAAAAAAAAAAAAAAAAAAAAAATTAAAATGATAAACGCGATGAGTATAGTGATATACGTGTTGTCATTTATACCAGATAGATAGCATATCAAATGACATACATTATGTGTCATTTGTCAACTGATTTTGATTAGTCAAACATCGATTGTTTTTTTTTGTGTCAGAATCTGTAGAATTTAGAAAATACAAAAATAAACTAAGAATATTTTTATGTATCCGTGACGTGTGGATGCACTATCTAAGACGAATTTAGTTCTAATGGATATTATTATTTGCGATTATTAAGATCAGGACAGTACATATAATAGAACGTAAATATGATTCACTATCTATTTTCTTAATTTAAATTATATTCAGTAAAAAGCATACGCATGTGTAATCTTTCATATAAATATGTGTACGATAGTATATAACTAATGTATTCGCAAACAGACTTTAAATAATTGAAAAAACATTTTCGAAATGTTTGTAATAATATATCGTATATTTCTTCGTTTAAATTTCGTAGATTGTATGTATAGACAGGGCAAGTTGGAGAGCACTACTTCCCTCTAGTACTTTTGTTTATTTGCATTCTTCTACATAGAAACTAAGTTTAGAAAAATATATTCTTTGTTTCTAACATATATATCTCACTATATATATTCCTTCATATATTTATATAATAATATATACACGTAAAATTTTACACAGTATGACGCTCGAATGCAATCTTTATGTCGAATATTTTAGTTCAATAGAGTTAAATATCTTGGAAAAGATACGATATTTTGGCGAAAGTTTTTAAACAAAAAGTTAGGTACGAAGCTGTAAGGAAGTATGAGTAATAGTTGAGTCTCAAAAGGAGACGCTGTGTACTACTACTACCAGCTGAATGTTATATATCTCAACTTTGTAAAATCACTTTCAAAATCAAGAATAATTTCTAGATCGAAGATATTGCTACACACATACAAAATGTTCGAATTGTTCAAATTTTTCTACTTATCAGAGACACAATATATAAATACTTTTGCAGTGCAACTTCGTTTAATTGCTCGCTCACACTTGATGTCTCTCTTTTTCTCTCTTTCTCTCTCTTTCTATTCTCTTTAAAAATATTGAAATAAATTTTTGCTTACCCTTACCTGCCCTATCTTCATATACATAGTGCGCTCTTATTCTCAATTATACATCTAAGTAGTTCCTTTTAAATACTTTTTTATCCTGATTTACACTCTTCTTTGGATAATAAAATTCAAGATTATTTACATTGCACGTTTATAGCTTCGTTAATCGTTTTTTTTTATTCAATAGTATATTTATCACAGCGGGTACACATGTATGTTATTGTTGCTTTTTTTTAATCATCTGAAACATTACATATGTTTATATATATATATATATATATATATAT